GCCGAGGTGCTCTTCGGGCGCTCCGAGTTGCCCTAGGCGTGGCCGACGTGGAGAACTGCTTCCACCGCATGATCATGCCGCCGTGGATGAGCGCGTTTTTCTGTTACGAGCCAGTGTCCGCCGCCGAGGTCGACCCCTCGGGCCTCCCGCTCATCGAGGGCGATCGGGCTTTCGGCGACACTCAGGTGTGGCCGGCCGCGCGCCCTCTTCCCATGGGGTTCGCATGGAGCCTCTACTTCTGCCAGAACGCCAACACCAGGCTCTCCGGCAGCGCGCCCCTTCTTCGCCACGCCCGTTTGCTGTCCGACCGCGGGGACTGGGCGGTCCTTGCGACTGGAGACCCCGAGACAGACCTCTGGCGATACGTGTACGTGGACAACCTCGGAGTCATGGGCCGGCACGCCGGCACGGTGGAGGCCGCCTTGTCGGAGCAGGTCCGGGTCTTCGGGGAGAGCGGCCTGGACATCCACGAGGTCGAGCTGTTCACCGAGAAGGGCTCCGCACTGGGGGTCGACCTTGACGGGACGCGGCTCGTGACCTGTCTCACCGCCAAGCGGCGGGTTAGGCTTGAGAGGGGGCTGCTCTATCTACTCCAGCGGGGCCGCGCGAGCGGGCAGATGGTGGAGAGCGTGCTCGGGCACTGCACCTACGCCGCCCTCATCAAGCGGGAGACCATGACCGTGTTCTCGGCCGAGTACGCATTTGTGCACGCCACGTACACGAAGGACGTAGAGCTCTGGAGTACCGTCAAGGCGGAGTTCACCGCGTTCGTCGGGCTGCTGGTCTTCATGGAGAGCGACTGGTGGCTGCCGTGGAACAGGGACGTCACCGCCTCGGACGCGTCGCCGGAGGGCTTCGGTATTGCCAGCTCTCGCTGGTCGTCTCACGACGTTGCCAGCGTCGGACGAGTCCGAGAGCGAGGCCGTTTCCGCCGAGGAGGGACTGTCGCCCCGCGGGAGTACGCCATGGCGGCCGCCAGCTTTGTGCTCGAGGACGGGCGCTGGCGGCCGCGCGCGGGCGAAGAGCTCGACGAGGACTGGTCCATCGTTGAGGGGTTCCCCAAGGGCTCCCAACTTCGCGCTTCGCGCTGCGCGAAGCGCGAAGCGCGAATAACTTCGCGCTCTCGCGCCGACCCCCCAAAGGGAGAATAGGAGGACGAGGAGGAGGGGGAGAAGGAACGAGGACCGCGAAGCGCGAAGCGCGAATAACTTCGCGCCCTCGAGGGAGCCCTTGGTTCCCCGAGGTGCCTGCCCGTCTTCTCCACCCAGGGGGCCCGGCGCGTCTGCCGCGCAGGCACCCGGGGCAGGCACGAGCCTATCACTCTGCTGGAGGCTCGGGCCCTGCTGGCGTCGGTGCGTCGGCTGGCGCAGGTCGCTGTTGGCGGCAATCTCGGGTCGGGCAAAAGGGGGGGATAGCAAAGGGGGGGGGTGAAAATCAGCTCACGTAGCTGATTTTCCCGGCGCCTCCCGGCGCCAGAGGCGGCCATGTATCGAGGAATGGGCGCCTCGGTGAGGCCGAAACCAGCTGCATGCAGCAAATTTCGTAACCCCCCCTTTCCCAATCCCCCCCTTTCGCCCGGCCCGACAATCGCAGGCATCTCCACCTCTGCGATAACATGTCGGTGGTGCTGGCTGTGAGCCGGAGCCGTGGCCGGGACTTCACGCTGCTGACCGTCCTGCGCAAGCTGAGCGGCTTCTTGCTGGCCCGCAGCGATCAGGCTGCACGTGAGGTGGGTGCCGAGCGAGCCGAATTTTGGTGACGAGCCGTCCCGAATCTTCTCGGAAAAAGCATCGTCGTCGCTCGCCTGGGGCATCCCCGACGTCGTCCGCAGGGCACGGTCGCCACAGGCTCGAGCCGATGAGCGAGGAGCGGAAGCGGCGGCGGACCTTGAGAGCGGGGGCCTCGGGGGATGTGCCGGCTCCGCAGCTCGGGAGCGACCCTGGCGAGGAAGTTTTTTTTTTTTTTTTTTTCTCAAGCACTGGCGGAAAAAAAACGGTTGCATTTGAGAGGCGTTTCATTCCTCACTTACAGCCACTGCGAGCCTTGGTGGCGGCCTTGGTGGCAGCGGAGCCGCTGCTCCCGTCCCGCATGACCGCGCGGACGGGAGCTTCCCGAGCGAGGCAGCTCTCACCGCAGCTGCCGCTGGGGGCCCTCCTGCAGCCGAGGGCGCCCGTGAGCCGGACGCTGGACGAGTGGGTGACGCAGACCGTCCGCGAGGAGAGCGGCGGCTACGTCGTCAGGCGCGGCACGCCGAGGGCGCCCACGTCGAGCTCCTCGAGCACTGGGCCCGCATCCGCGGGCGTCAGTCGGTCCGCCCGACGAGAACGGACACTGGCGACCCGGTCGAAGCGTCGGGTGTGGTGTTATCTCGAGGAGAAGTTCAGGGCCGAGAACGACGGGATCACTCTGCTCGAGAAGCGCGCGGTGACGGACAAGGTCCACCTCGAGAACGCCTACGAGGTGGCGTCCTTCGCCAAGTACGCGGCAGCCCAGGGGGTCCGTGTGGACCGCGCCGAGGCCGACGCCGTGGACGCCGTTTTCGCGTCATACCTCGAGCAGTGCTTCTTCAAGGGCTTTCAGGCGTCGACAGGGGCCAAGGCTCTGGCGGGCTGGATCCACCTCCGTCCTGCCTACGGCCGCTGGGGCTCTTTGAAGCTCCCGCGGGCCTGGAGGGCGCTTCAGGGGTGGCACAAACTATGCCCCTGGCGCTCTCGGAAGCCGGAGGGGCTTGGCGTGTGGTTCGGCCTCGCAAACGCCATGTGCCATCTCGATCGGCCTCGGATGTCTATGTTCGTCCTCCTGGCCGTTTCGACCTACCTCAGGCCGGGGGCGCTTCTGACCGTGAGGGGGACGGAGCTCATTCCTCCTGCGCCAGGCGTCACTCGCCACTGGTCAGTCCTCGTCCACCCCCACGAACGACCAGGGCGGAGCAAGATCGGGGACTCGGACGTGTCCATCCTGCTCGACAGCGACTGGGCCAAGGATCTGAACCCGCTCTGGGAACGCCTACGGGCTGTGGCGGGGCCAGGCCCTCTTTGGGACTTCGACTACGGCGAGTACCTCCACACGTTTCGTCGTGCTGCCCGACTGATCGGCGTGCCGGACCTGGTGCCGTACTAGACGCGCCACAGCGGCCCGAGCGTCGACCGCGCTCGGGGCTCCCGCTCCCTGCTGGAGGTGCAGAAGCGTGGCCAGTGGAAGTCCGGCAAGAGCGTCGCCCGCTACGAGAAGCACGCCAGACTTGCCGACTCCTTTCATCGACATGCAGCCGGCCTCCAGGCCTACTTCCAGCAGTGCGAGGATCGCGGCACGGAGATCGTCCTCCACGCGCGCCTCGTGCCGCTCCCACGTTTGGGGCGGAGTTGATGAGGGATAAGTACATTGCCGACGTGTTCGCTGGCAAAGGCGGAGTCGCCAAAGCTGTGAGGCAGCTCGGCTTTCAGGCTCGCATCTGGGAGATCTCCCACGGCCCGCACGGCGACCTCACGTCCAGCCGCGTGATCAAGCCGCTCTTGGCAGATATACGCAGGCGCCGTTGCTTGGCAGTGATGCTCGCTCCCCCGTGTAGCAGCTCCCGACGTTGACTACTGATTTTTGTCAGTTCGGTACCCCCTGGAAGAAACGCACTACCCTAATGTGCGGGAGCATTCCCGTCCACGACCTCCAGGGGCTTTCACGCCAGTGTGGCGGCACCAACGGCGATTGCAGCCGCACAGGTCGAAAACACATCATTCTTTCTGGCCCAGCGCCCAACGGGGTGCCGTGGACACAGGTAGCACAGCCATACCCACAACAGCTGAATCGCGGTCTGGCTCGTGCGCTCGTGGCTCCGATCCGAGCTAAGTTTTTTCAAGCATGAGTCCCATCCTCAGGTGCTTTGGGGATGCGTTGGGACTTTTTCTTCGAGCGGAGGTGGGCGGTGCGTCGAAGGCCGCCCCAATGTTCGGACCCTCCGCTCGTGTGGTCTCATCGCGATGACTGAGTAGTGTTCTCGAAGACAGATTGCACCAGGCACGTCGCCTCAGACCGGTGAAATCGTTCCTCGCCTGGCTCTCGGTCCCCATGGGAGTGCGTGCACAAGAATGGGGTAAGAGAGCGGCTTGTCGTTTGCCAGCATGTCTGTCAGAGCATCTGCAAGCTCCGAAGTCTTTTTGGCTCCCACCCGCGGCCACCCATCGTCTAATGTAGCAGAGACAAAACTTATTCTTCGAGTGGAGGTGGGCGGTGCGTCGAAGGCCGCCCCAATGTTCGGACCCTCCGCTCGTGTGGTCTCATCGCGATGACTGAGTAGTGTTCTCGAAGACAGATTGCACCAGGCACGTCGCCTCAGACAGGTGAAATCGTTCCTCGCCTGGCTCTCGGTCCCCATGATGATGATGATGATGATGATGATGATGATGATGATGATGATGATGATGATGATGATGATGCTGATGCTGATGCTGATGCTGATGCTGATGCTGATGCTGATGTGCTGATGTGCTGATGATGTGATGGAGGATGATGTTGAGGAGGAGGAGGAGGAGGAGGAGGAGGAGAACGAGGAGGAGGAGGAGGAGGAGGAGGGAGGCAGAAGAGGAGAAGGAGGAGGATGAAAAGGAAGAGGAGGAGAAGGAGAAGGAGAAGGAGAAGGAGAAGGAGAGGGAGAAGGAGAAGGAGAAGGAGGAGGAGGAGGAGGAGGAGGAGGAGGAGGAGGAGGAGGAGGAGCGGAGGAGTAGGCGGTTGCAGGATCACCTTCATCAGCCGTTAGCAGCAGCAGCGGAGGAGGAGGATCAGGAGACCTCACGAGCCCCGAAGAAGCCCTGGCCACACACTGAACAATGCCTCACCCGCCCTACCCGAAGGCTTGCTTGCCGGTCTCTTGCCCCTATCCCTGCAGCACCGCCTTGCTACAAGGCCTCTGGGCGAACCCCAGACAGGAGAGCACTGGCTGGCCCTCCTCCTGCCTATCCTCCTCGTCTTCTTCCCATGGCTCATTCCGCGACCCCAGCGGCCCCCACCGAGAGCGCCAGCTCGAGGCGGAACCACGCCAGCGAATAGGCCACGCCGAGCGCCGCGCCGACGGCGAGCTGAGCCTCGGAGTGCACCTACCGACCCCCAGGCAGCCGGCAATACGGAGCTGCCAGAGGAGGTGGTGGTAAAAAACCAGCTGGCGCTGAAATGCCGATTCAGGCCCACACTCGAAACGCACCTCCCCCTCTTAGCTGGACCCCGTTTTGGGGGTCAATCTGACTCTCCTTCCGTGTTTCCTCTTCCCCCTCCGCTCCGTTCCCTCCGCTGCTGTTTCTCTCTCTCTCTCTCTTTCTCTCTCTCTCTCTGTCTCTCTGTCTCTTTATCGCTCCGCCTCTGGCCCGCTCTTATTAGCTCCTCCCCCGACTCCGGTCCGCTCCTCCCTCCGCCCCCGCGCTCCGCCCACCCACCCCAGGCTGTCGCACTTGTGCTCCAGTGGTAGCTGCTTATAAAGCACATCACCAGGGGAGGAGGTCGCACCGGAACGTCAAAGGGAACCTCGGTGGGTCTGGGGTATCTGGCGCTGTCCTCGGGGACGCACTGGCCCGGGTCAGCCACAGCCTGGGTCGGCCATGGATCCGTCGCGGAGCCCAGGTCAGCCCGCGGGGATTGACCGACCCCCGCTCGCGCTGACCCTCGCTACGCGGGCCCCGATGTCCGACTTGTCCGATGTGCCCGGGGGAAGGACGATGATGATGATGATGATGATGATGATGATGATGATGCTAATAATGATGATGATGATGATGATGATGATGATGATGATGATGATGATGATGATGATGATGATGATGATGATGATGATGATGATGATGATGATGATGATGATGATGAAGAAGATGATGATATGTGATATGGTGATGGTGATGGTGATGCTGATGAGGAGGAGGAGAGCTTCGGAGAAGGAGACGGAGGAGGATAACGAGGAGGAGGAAGAGACGGAATAATCATAATTGTGGGAGTTGGTGGAACCGAGAGGGTTGACATGGTGGCAATGGCTGTGATAGCGAAGCTTTTTTCCTGCTCGAAGATATACGTTTGCACGCGCTGGCGCTGAGCCAAACGGCGACGAGGCATCCAATTTGAGTCGGGCTCGCGCGGGCGATCGAACAGCTCTTGCGCAGCAAAAGAACCGAGAAAAAGCCACATTTACCCATCCCCGCGCACTTTCCCAACCCATCCAATACACACTGCTGCCATCTAGAGGGCGCTGGCCCAAGCGGATGGCGGACTCACGGACTGCACTCGGGAGCTCACCCGTGCTCATATGAACAGCACTGGGCACAACTCACGCGAGTGTGTGGGGTGTGCTCGCCCAGTGCCGCATCGGTGTCTGTGGGCCATGGGGTGCGGATTGAAAGTCCGAAAACCTGCAGCATATTGCCCTGTGAGGTCGAAGATCGGGGTCGTGCCAGGGCGAAGGTGGGCAAAGGAGCAGCCTTGACCCAGTGGCGTGAGTGGGGAAAAGGGAATGGTGGACAGGTGCACCATGAGGGGCGCGGGTGGACACCGCACGGCCGCCTCGGTCGCCGAGTGCTCTCAGTCGCGGTCCTGCTCGTAGGTGGGAACGTTCACCAAATGATCCTTCGGCGAGCCGTCTTCTAGCTCAGCTGGTAGCCCTTCACTTGTGAGGTCTGCGTCCTCGTCAAAGACTGCGCCGGGAGGCGGGCCAGGCGTGGCCGGCCCATCGGCCTCCTCCACTGGAAGATCTGACGCCGCCGCGCGACCGGCCTCTCGGCGTCGCTTGGCCCTCTCACCACCGCTCCTCGCCTTATTGACCTTCGCCCCGGGTTCGGCGCGCGGCGCGCGCGGCGCCGTCGTCCGCGGGGGCGCCCTCGTGCTGTGTCCGCGCGAGCCCACTGGCACAAGGGCCCCTGTGCTGCGGCGGAAGATCGATGGCCTTTAGCGCTGCTCGAACTGGTCCCTTGGAGGAGAGTGTTCTGGCCGGGATGGGCGCGAGCCCCGGCGCGAGTCGGATCTCGACCTTCGGCTCACTGCACCGCCGCGGAGGTCGTGGGCGGCCGGCGCCGCGCCCGACGGCGCAGCGCCTGGAACGTCCGGCCTGTCAGACTCCAGCAGGGGGTCTGGGCAGTGTCCTGGCCAGTCGCGCAGCTGCCGGCGGCGCCTGCGCGCGCGGCGCCCGCCCGCGTCGAAGACGTTCGGGCGGGACATCGCGACGCGCGGGGGCCCCCCTGCCCTCGATCTTCGGCCCGCGTGAGATCGCCTGCTGGCTCGGGCGGATGCCGCGAGCCAGCCCAAGCTCGTGGCTGAAGCTCACGCGCATCATGGGTTCCGTGGCGTCTGCGTTGTGGATGCGCTGGCGGGCCGCGTCCTCTGGGGCGCGCTGCGAGATGCGCCGGCTCGCCAGGAACGGCTTGACCCGCTCGTGGGCCAGGGCGTCTGGCGAGAGATGCCGCCCCTCCTCCTCAGGCTCCTCCTCGTTGAGCGAAGCAGGCGAGGGCGCCCTGGCGCCGACCGCCATTGTGGAGGAGGCGCAGCCACGCAGCCCTTCCTGGCGGGCGTCAGCCTCGGCGCCTTGGGCCGCGCCGGGCTCGCCGAGGCGCTCTCGAGCAGGCTGGGCGCGGCTGCAGAGGTGCTCGCGCAGGTCGGGGCAGCGGGGGCGAAGCTGGTCTCTGTCCTTCTTCCCCGTGGACGGCGGTAGTGGCGACTTCGCTGGGGCGCTCAGCATCCTCGCCAGCGAAGGCTCCAACGGCGTGCCGGGTGGGCGCTCGCGCCGGGCGTCGTCGGCGGCGCGCCGGCGGGCGCGCTGGGGCGCTCGATTACTTCGTGCTCGCTGGCGAGCCAGCTGTCGCTTCGTTCCAGCGGATGCCTTCGGGGCGCCATTGGTAGCCGGCGCTCGACCAGACCCCGTTCTGGGGCTGCTGGCCGACCCCTCCGGCGACGGGGGGGCCTCCACCAGGGGCGAGGCTGCCTGCGCCCGCAGTGATGGCTCCTGGCCCCTCGCGCCAGCAGCGCCGCCGCGAGCGTGCCGGGCGGGGGAAGGGCTCCGCGGGGGCGGGGGAAGGGCTCCGCGGGGCAGCAGCGGCCAGCGCGCAGACCTCGCGCTGATGGCCTATGCGGTGACCGCGAACCCAGAGCACGTTGCGCGCACACATATATCGCGACGCATGCTCTCGCACTCGTGCCAACAGCAGCTGTCGATGTCTGTCATTCCCATGCTTGTCAGATAATGTCGCGCCAGCATCCTTCCTGTTCCAAGACAGCGTGGGAATATTCTGTAGACATGTCTGTTCTGGCACTGCGGGGTCTTCCAAGTATGGGGATGAGGTAGAGGAGAAGATCTCCGATCAGGGCGAATGGGAGCACGACGGTCGCACGTGCTTCTGTTCGTCGTCGCGCGCAGTCGGCGGGCGCTACTGAAAGCGCAATGAGCTTGCCCACCGAGTTTAGTGCGACTGTGCACGGTGTGCGTGCGTGTGTGTGTGTGTGTGTGTGTGTGCGTGTGTGTGTGTGTGTGTGTGTGTGTGTGTGTGTGTGTGTGTGTGTGTGTGTGTGTGTGTGTGTGTGTGTGTATGGGTGTTTGTGTGTGTGTGTGTGGGTGAGTGTTTGTGTGCGTGCGTGCGTGCGTGCGTGCGTGCGTGCGTGCGTGCGTGCGCGCGTGCGCGCGTGCGCGTGTGCGCGCGTGCGTGCGTGCGTGAGAGTTCTCCGGCCGTGCCCGCCAGCGCCCGGCAGCTCGGTCGGTGCTGCCGTTGGTTAGTCCGCCTGCAACCGCGTCGCGGGTGCCCCCCCTCCCAGCTCAGGGCCCATAGCCACGGCGTGCGTGGACAGAGCGAGTGCGACCTGACATCGGCCACCCGGAATGCCAAAGGCAGCCGCCCATCTCGTTGGCGCCGCGCGGCGTCGGGTCCGCGCGGGTCTTGAGCACCTCGTGGATCGCGGCGGCTGGCGCCAGGCCGTGATCTGTGGAAATGATGACGGCCACCGACTCGCTCGCGAAAGTGCTTCGCGCCGTCGTCTTGAGCGCGCCGCGCGGCCAGTCGAGTAGGCGGCGCCTATGTCTGCCGACGAAGGGGTTCGCCCCGCGCGGAGGAAGGCGGCTCCGAAGGGCTAGCCTCGCGAGTTGAGCTAGTGGATCCGGCCGCGCGCGAGCGCCGCCGCGCGGCGCTGCGGCGCGACTGCGAAGACATGCGAGTCGACGCGCGTGATGGGTGCAAAGGCCAGGGCCGTGAGTCAGCTGAGGTGCAGGTTGCCGTCGACTGGTGGTGGTGCTGCTGAACGTCTGTTGATGACGCGCGGTGCTGGGTGCGACGGGGCCAGTTGAGGCTTGGTTTTTCGGAAGGAATCGGACGTTGCGATGCCTGCCGAGATGGCGTCCTGCATGACTGTTTGTTAATCGGTCGTCAGAGAGACCTGCCAGGTGGAGACGACTTGGTGGATGTAGCTCGAAGTGTCCTCACGACAATCCTTCCCGGGTGCTTGAGAGCCTCCCGTCGTCGTGGTGGACGCGTCTAGGCGCGTGCCGGCCTCGGAGGCATCTGCGCCACTGCCCCGCTCGTCTGCAACCTGGGGCTTGTCTTCCACGAGATCGGAAAGGCAGCGGCCGCCCACTATGACGAACAGTAAGTGGCCCATTTTGCTCCATGGGACCAAGTCGGCCAGTCTTGGTGCTCCACCAGGCCCCCATCTCGCGCTGTCCTGGCTTCCACTGGACCAGGAATTATCAGTCGCGGCTGTCTTCGGCGACTATTCGTCCTAAACCAAGTCCCTTTTGAACAGCGACGACGCTCTCAAGGTTGAAGACATTCTGGTATACGAGGCCCGCTGTCACCTCACGCCATGGAGTCGTAGCTGCGGTGACGGCGCCGGTGGCCGCGATCGAAGCTGAAGAATTGTAATGTTTTCTCTGTGAGCCTGAGGATGTGCTGCCCTGCGTTTGACAGTGCTTGGTCGCGTCGAAAGCCCTCGTCAAGTCGCGGATCACTGTCGCCAGAAAATTTCCCCGCGCAGCGTCGCAAGTTATGACTGACGGTTGTGTGTGGGGGAAGGCGCCATCCGAGGAAGTGTATCTTGACCGATTGCACCGCGCCGGCACGCATTTGCTGTCCTCTTCCAACAGCCCGAAAAAAAGCGCGGCTAAGACGCCCCCAGACACGCGGGGAAGCGCGGCCGCTGCAATCGGCCTGCGCCCTGAATCTGGTTTCGGAATGCGGCGCGTCGCGGGCCGTGGCCGACCCTCGATCCATGCGCGTAATTGTTCGCATCGAACCAATAAATTGATCACCTGCCTCGCCGCGTCGTCCGAGAAGTGCCAGAGCATCCTTGGGCGCGTGCCGGGCGGCCCAGTTGATGTGTGATGCGGGATGCTGAGGAATGCTGAAGATGACTCCCCTCGCCATTCAAGCGTCGCCTCAGAAAGGCAGGGTGGCGAGACAGCGTCGCCAGGTAGCCGCAGCGACCGGCGCTCGTGCGCCGGCCAGCTACGAGCCCGCGCGTGTAATGGCGCGTCCACTCCGGCACAAGGCTGGACATATTCACGCAAGGGTGAACTCTACATCACAAGTCTACGCGCCCGTGAAAGCCGATGGCCCCCGATGGCATGGCGCCCGCGAAAAGGCGCCCCGCCCGCCCCGTCGCCCGCGCCTTGGGCGCCCGATGCGCCGACGAAGCTCCTCCAGCAAAGGTCTCGCAAGCCCGAGACGCCCCGGCCTCGAGCGACCGGCGCAAGTCCCCCGCGCGCATCCTGCTCGCCGCCCATCGCGCCGCTCGAAAACAAATCGTCAAAGCCATGGGCAGCCGGCGCCTGCGGACCCATTGCAGGGGCAAATCGAAGCTGCATTGGGAAGTGCTGGAAGCTGGCAGCGCTGCGCTGCGCGCTGGTCGGGAAGGCCGCAACCTCGTTGGCCCAGGTCTGCTGCGCAATAGCCGTCGGTGGATCATTCCAATCACCTCCCAGAAACCAACGCGCCACCGCTGTTCAGAGACCCGGGGAGCTTGGGCAATCTGCCGAATATGTGCAGCGCCGATGGGGCCGAGGCCGTCGTCGGCGTCCAGGTAGATGCTGCCCGCAACGAAGCCGCTGGGCACGCCCCAATACATATTCGTGAAAAGCTCTCGTCCTAGTGCGACCTCGGGCGCCGTGATCATGATATCTTATCGCGCCAGAGCAACAACTCCAGGGGTGGCGCCCTTGTCGCGCTTCGCGCGCGGAGTCGCTGCCGCCCAGTGCCCGCGCCCGCCCTAGTCCTCTCCAGACTGCGTGCTGGGCAACTTGTCCAATGACGCACGGTGCTCTTTGGCCAATGCAATTTTGGCCGTAGTTGTCGGAAGGGCTCGAACACACTGCCAAACGATGCAACATTAAACGGCACCCCCTCGCCCTTCAGTTTAACGGCGCCCTTGCCATCGGAATGGCGAACGCGCGCGCTGCCTGGCGCGAGCCTATGACTGGCGCCAACCTCGCGGGATACTGCTTGATCGCGACCTGTATTTTCGTAGCCGCGTGCTTCGCAGCATGGGGGAAATAGAGAGAAAGAGAGAGAGAGAGAGAGAGAGAGAGAGAGAAAGAGAGATATCAAACAAACAAAATCCTCATCTGAGGGTCTTGCCGCCAACGGTTCCGGATATCTAGCAGCAGCTGGATTTTTTTTGCACGGGCGTCATTCTGCTAAGTATCACCAGCACACCCACACCAGACATGCGACCATGTGGAATTAGGGGCCGCCGGGCCTGAATCCGCACCGGCCGCAGTGGAATTCCTCGGGCGATTGGCTGCAAATGTCTGGGCGCCCCACTTGATCCGCTTGGCCGCCTTGCCTGCGTCATTTTCATCGTCAATTACGTTTTAGCCATAACTCCTGAAACAAAAAACCTTACGCATGTCAAGATCAGCGTCGCCCCGGTCCTGAAAAAGACTTGCACGAACCACCTGCTTCTTCTTGATCATGTTCTGTTACAATCCAAGCTTCTCCTGTCTATCCTTGATTCCATAATCCATAATGCCGATGACCGCCTGCGTCGTAGGATGCGATTCGCCATGCCGTGTGTCTGCGCGGTGAACGGCTTCGCAGAAGTGATCCCCGCGCGCCGCTCAGGGACCCGCTTGGCGTAGGACTCGTGACCTTCATCATCCTCATGCTTGTCGCCCGGTGCTTTGGCCGTCGCTTCCATGGAGACCCGGATGAGCTCAGCCCCATCCGAATCCTTTCTGTTTAGAGCTCGCCTCGGCTGCTGCATCATCCTGGTCGCCGCGAGCTTCTGGAAGAGAATAAGCGTGCTGCTGCCCAGCACCTCGCTGCTGTTGCTGCTCGAGGAGCTGCACCCGGTTGCGCAACGCCACAAACTCCGGATCCTTCTCTGCCACGACAGAATGAGGTGTGAGCTTGGCCTTACCTTTCCACAGGCTGGGAGATGGCGGGCCCACGTCCCAGAAGTAGCAGCGTCCCTTGGCAAACCCACACATGCAGCAAGAGACTGCGTCCACATGGCTGAGCCAAGGTAGGACTGTTTTGGCGCTGGTGCACGCGCGACAGTGCAACTTAGTAGTCTGCTCCCGCCGCCTCCGAGGACCACCACCAGCCACGCCAGGAAAAGACACAGACCAGCGCACAGCCTGATCGTGCCAAGCGGAGTGAGCTGACAACGGTAGCGCGCAGCTCGACCGTTACCACTCCCGTGAAAGAGATTGAAGACTGGCCTCAGAACAAACTTATCCACTGCTTGCATTGTGCAACGAAGCATCTTGATCCTGAATGGCTACGGAGGAGGGATCGGAAGGCGGGTGGGAGGAACAAAAAGGGAAGAAAGGGGAGGGAGAGGACGAGGGACAGGCGGACGAGAGGGAAGGGCAGGAGGAGGAGGAGGGCGGAGGAGAAGGCGGACACACATCCCCCCGACATCGTGGCCAAACTCGAGGCGCAGGAGAAAAATCGCGCTCTCCCACGGCTTCTGCCTCCCGGCGGCGCGCTCGATCGATGGAGGGAGGCCTGGTGCAAAACATGAGCTGCCTCTCATCCGACGGTCTGGATTCCTCCTGAGTCGCAGTGAAGCGTGCCCGCGTGGGGGCCTGGGCCGAACTCCAGCTCGAGGTCACAGCCAATCCTATCGAGGAGGATCATTTCTCGGCCTGCGCACCTTGCCCCGACAGCCTATGGCCGAAACGAACTGTGAGAAACTGGTGCTGCGTCCAAAGCGTATGTCATTGATGCCTTGCCCCCCCCCCCACCCCCCCAACTTCGGATCACCCATACGCTGGCTGATTTTATGACTTAAAAGTGTCGCAAACGCACCCAAAGTGAAATGAGGTAGGGTGGATATTTCCGCAAATGTAACGCGGAAATATCGGCGGCGAAAAAAAAGCGGACATCGACATCAAACGAGCTTGAAGAGTAGGGTGGGAAGTTCCTCCATACTTGCGAAATCGCCCAAAGCACGGCGGACCTGAAGCAAGGGCCCTCTCCAAGACCAGGAACATTGACCTGGTCGAAGAATGATCTCCAGATTGCCATGATGACATGATGCCGATCATGGACGCCACAAAATTTACAGCACAGCTGGAGACGGAAATACATCGCTCGTGCGCGCTGGCACACTTGAATATCCGATCATCCCTCCAGCCTCCTGGTTGTCATCACGAAACTACTTTCGGACAACATGTCAGGCTGTGAGCAACAATGTGCTGACATTCAACCATGGGTCGAACACTCCCCCTTTCCATACATCACACCACATTGGACGACGAACGAGCAATACAGAACGCGAGCTCTCCCTCCCCCCGCGCACCCCCATGTGAGCACGCGAGAAGGTCACCAATCCGGCCCAAGTCCTCCGATGATGGCAGCATGACGCAGGATCTGCAAGTGAAATATGAAGAGTTTGTGGGCGGGGCCGTCTGGCTCGATGCTGCGCGAAGCGGCCTCTTGAACTCGAGGCATCTCTGCGCTAGGGATGGCAACTCGGCAAACCACGACGCGTGCAACAAGTCGACTAGATGGTCAACGATTCCTTGTAGGTGCAACGACGCTTTGCAAGATGAGCGCGTGTCGAATGGTTTGGCGTGGCTTGCGCGACGAACCGATTCAAATCACGAGCATATTTGGCTCGACCTGAAACCCGTATTACGAAACCAGAGCCACAGTATGTAGAACGAGGTTGCTGACCAACGCAGCGCCGACTCGGGTATGCTCAATGCAAAGTCCTGTTCAGTGATGCGAGCGCGTGGTCTGCTGTTCTGTGCATAGACCATCTGCTGTCTATGTGTCTATATGTCAAAGCTTTCGCGAGCGCGCGCATCCACACCACACCACACCACGCGTGCGACTGTGCTCACAACACTTGAACAAGTGACGGGAGAGACGGCGAGGCCAACTACTGCATAGCACACGATGCACGAGCAGAACGATTGAGACAATGTGGTCGTGACAATCAGGGCTCCATGAACATGGACACGCTAACCCAAAACATCCAACACCCCTCGAAACCTTTTCTTTCCAATCGACGGCACGAAACACATGAAACACATCTGCACTGCAACATTCCCGGAATAATCCCGGGCATAAGCCATAAAAGCCTGCAAGGCCCTCCCTAAACCCCAACAAAGACCGAATCCTGAAACAATAGCTGCACTGGACGACCAAATCTGACTTTGGGAAAGGGTGTCATTTCCCCGACTTGCAAATGTCCTGGTTAATCTGTGTCTTGGTCTCTCGGGGCCTGAGTCGCATGTTTTGGTAATCGACCGGAAAAAGAAATCATGCTAAATATCCGCACGCCTGGACAATGACCCCAACTGAACGATCCCAGGGACTCGATGAAAATAACTGAGACCTTAAACGTGTCAGCGTGCGGCGAAATACCGCAACCACATACGTGCAAACATGCGCTGGTAACAGATTGTTGCAACTATTGTCAGTCAGCCTGGCGCTGATGAAGACTCATCGGACATGGGCTCAATCCCTGGCACATTTAACGTGAAATTAAAATATGCTCTGCGGTAGTGTACCAAGTCGAACATTAGACGCCGACGAAGAATGACGGTGAACATGAAAATGACAAGCAAAGACTTTGAACCCCCCTGGCCTCCAGGCTGTCGAACATATTCCCCTTCTGCCATGATCGCATGAAGAGGCTTTTCGTTGGTGTAGACAGAAAATCGAACTTCTTTGCCGTGGAACTTTATGTCTCGCTGACTCACTGATGCCAGCCGGACATCGCGATTTGCAGGAAATGGTCGAACACTGGTTGTTTGCGAAACGATATCATGTCGAACGGTAGCCATGGGTGAAAGCCTTCTTGCCTTTCGATTTCCTCCAGCTCGCTCCCTCACTCTCAGTCCCCTCCAGAGGAGCGCGATCACCGTCATCTTGATGAGGGTGGGGCAATAGACGTGGCGATGGAGGTGCTGCGGGGTACGGATCTCTTTCGCACGCGTCTTTTTGACCGCGTCATTGCATAGCGATCGTCGTCGTCGTCCTCCTCCTCCCGTCCTCTTCTTCTGACTTATGAACTTATCACTGATCCACGTTCTCGTCCGACTCACAAGCAGCACCTCTCGGCCCTCTCATATCTGCCTTCTCGCACGCCTCCTCCATGCCATTGACACTGCTTCTTGCCACTGCGTTTGTTCTCCTCCTCCTCCTCCATCTCCTCCTCCTCCTCCCCCTCCTCCTCCTCCTCCTCCTCCTCCCCCTCCTCCTCCTCCTCTTCCTCCTCCTCCTCCTCCTCCTCCAACCCTTTCGGCGCATTTCGTCCGGGATTGCCAGCGTGTGCTTCGAAGGGGCTCGCGCTGGCGAGCCACGCGTGGCTCAGTCAGCGGCACCCGTCGTGGCCCGGCGGCAACTGCGCCAAGCCCTATGGCACTGCGTTCGCGAACTACGGGTTCAGGACCTCGTGTCTACGGTGCGGCAGGCAGCCGCCCAGGACGGTGCGAGAAAGGAATGGACAGGCTGGACACGTGCATCCACCGCCGTGGTCCAAGAGTACGAACACTTCATCTTGGCAGAGAGGCAGGAGGCAAGCCTGAGCGGCCCGATAGGTGGGCAGATGGGGCCACCGACGCTGGGGGATAGCAAGAAGCCCGACCCCACCCTCAATGCCAAGAAGAAAGAGAACAGCGACGGTAACAACGGCGTGGAGTACGACCCCGAATATTGCCAAGACAATGCTGGAGAGTATGGCCAAGGCACACGGTGACGACAGGACCAAGTGGCCCGATGGCTGCAAGGACCTTGTTGTGTGCTGTGGAAGGCTGTGGAGTCCGAGGCCAAGGGCGAACAGCCAGCTCCCAACTACAATGGCATGTCGGCGTTCCAGCTCGGGCAGCGACTGCAGGACATCAACAAGAAGCTCGACAAAGCGTGGGAGCGTGTACATGAGCGAACTCTCGAACTGCAAGAAGCCACGCGAGCTAGATATGCCGAGCAGCTTATTGTTGCCAACCGTGAGGAGCGGAGGAATAATATCAAGGATGCACAAGCTGAAGTATTCATGCGAGGAGATGCTGAAGGGCCTACTGCCGCGGGCAATCCTGCGGTGGCGCTGTGCGGCAAGGTAGCCAACGTCCAGAGGAAGATGGGAAACGAGAACATCCCTAGCTGTCTCGAAGAACCCCTCCGAACGCTACAGCAAGCGCTTGAAGCCCTCGAGCAATAGCTCAACGACAAAGCGGAACAGACAAAATCGAAGGAAGGCAGGACAGTGCACAACGTGGCCTCTGACAGCGATCATGATCCTGACGATGATATGCTGGGCCACTTTGATATCCCTGTGCCCGACGAGGACGACTATGAGGACATCTTCCCTCAGGCTGGGCTCAAGCTCGGTGGGGTCGACGAGGAGGCCGAGCGCAAGCGGATCAAGACTGCCAGGGCACGAGTTCTCGAGTCCCTCGCTGTGGCCACTGCCGCCGCTGCAGCAGAGCAGAGGAAGGTCCAGCCCCCAGCTTCTGCTCTTGCCGAAGCAGATGGCAAGTGAGTCGACTGTGAACCTTGCGGGGTGGAGTCCGGGGGCAAGCGGACTTGAATGTTGTCTTGGCGATTGGCCGCTCGCGCGAAGAAGTCAAACCATGGCAGCCCGCAACAGAGCAGGGCGAGCTGCCACCTCGGGCGCAGCAGTCGGTGTGCGACGAGACATGCCTCCACAGCACCGCCTGACCCCGGAGGAGTGGCACCGCCAGCGTGGAGATGGACTGCGCAGTGGGCGGATGGCACGTTGCCGGGTGGCTTCGTTCTTGCATCCATACACCTGGCCTCTGGACACAAGAGCAAGGAGTTTGAGGGCGCCAACAAACGCATGCTCATGACGTGCATGGAGCAGCTCAGAAGAAGTGGCACGCCCGTCATCATCGGAGGCGACTGGAACATGACCCCTTCTGAATTGGAGGACCTCCAATTGGTGCAGCACGTTCCCGCGATGATCGCTGCGCCAACTCAACGGACATGTGCTTGTGGAGAAGGGCGGGTGTTGGACTATTTCGTCGTCAGCAAGCACTTCAAGGGCCTTGTCACGGGGGTGGAGAGGATTGATGGGCTCTCCATTACTACGCACCAGGGTGTCAGGTTGAATCTGAGCGTTGGACCTGGTGCTACACATGAGCAGCGGCTCAAAAACCGAAGACATTCCCGAAGGAGTACCCGGCAGGAGAACCACGACCTCCGCCGACGCATCAGCGCATCCATGGAGAATGCGAGCGTGTTCGAGACAAAGGAGACTTGCAACGGTGCTACGCTGAGTGGCAGAGGTTAGCTGAACAGGAGTTGGCGGACCGTTACCAGCCGGACGATAGGTTGCGCAAAGCTTTGTCAATGTGGTGGGGAGAAGCCATGGCCAGAGCCCCAGTTGGTGGCGACTGTACGCAAAGCTCCAGGGCGCGGCGCTGAAGGCAACGCTGCATCACGGATATGGAGACGAGCTTCAATTGTCATGGTGGATCTCATGCACGCGCTGAAGAGGAATTGAGGCCAGGACTGCAAGTTCGCGGAGGACAGGTGCAACGCCATGAGGAACCTGAAAAACAAGAAGGTAGACGTGGGACCGCATTGGGACATCTGGTGTTACAGATACGACTGTGAGTCTTCGTGGGGAGAGGACTGGCGTAGATATGCAAGTTGGAGTGCTGCTAGTGAAGCGACCAGGATCGAGCAATATTTTGCCAGGGGTAGGGTGCGACAGTGGAGGGCGCTAGTCGATGGGGCTTTGGACATGGAGACAAGAAAGCACGCGCATGGTCGATGCTACCCGCATCCTGGCAGCAGGCTGATATCCACCCTGCGCTTGGGGCCCAATCTCACGCCTCCAAGCTGAACTCTGACCTGGCGGAATGGAAGACGATATGGCGAGTATGCGACGGAGGAGAAAGTTTTGGTGCTGGGCTACGGGTGCAAATACCTGTGGACGAGGTGCAGATGCTGCATGCGGATCATAGCAGGAACGTGGCCGGCAGTTTCAAGCGTCGTACGGCTTCGGGGGCGGACAACCTTGGGCCGCGAAACATGGCGCTGTCATCAAGTGGCTCGCTCGAAGCGTTCGCTGACATCATGAAGGTTGCGGAAGCCATAGGTGAGGAGCTGCCGCCTCAGATGACCACCGCCATCATGCCCAGATTGCCCAAACCAGACGGCGGTCATCGACTCATTAGTCTACTCGCAGACGCTCTGAGGATCTACAACAAGTGCCACGAGATGAACCAAGACGAGTGACGGCGAGAGTTATCACTACGCGATCGCAAGGAGGGGCTCTAAGCAGGCGGCGTGGACGCAATATGTCATGCCTGAAACATGTTCGGTGCTCAAGAAACACGCAGCCACGGTCGTGCTGGGTCTCGAGATGGCTTTCGAGAAGATGCCGCATGCGAAGTTGTGGGGGGGTGGGCGCAGGCGCGGGTTCAAGCGCTCGAGGCTCGCATTGCTTCTCAAGTCGTATGTGGGGAGAAGGGCGATCAGATTTGACAATTTGGTTTCAGATTTTGTCATGACGATACAACGGCATCATTGCTGGGTGTTCTTTCGCCACCGCAATGAGGGTGCTATTCGCGCTTGGGGCTTGCGGCAAATGTGCGCGTGATGGCCGTCTCTCAGCATTGCGCAGGTCGTTGATGATGGCGGCCTCCAAGCAACAGGCCCTCGCGATCAAGTTCTGAAGACGATCGTCCCAGCGGCCAGACGCTTGCGTGCTGAGTTAATGGACTTGGGGTTGAGACTCAGCCCAAACAAGGGGCATGCTATTGCCGCGTCGCCCCAGCACGGGGGAAGAGAGAGAGAGAGAGAGAGAACAAGAGGTGGTCATTGCGCTCAGGAAGTGCCAGTTCAGGCGGCACAGATCAGCGCGGCAACTGGGGCATGACCGCTTCATGAGACGTGGCGCGACACGGCCAGCGCAACGAGCGCGGGTCAAAATGCCATCCAAGAGGATTGCTAGATACCGCCGGCTGGCACTTGGAGGCAGCCAGTTGGGCAGATTATTTCGTGGTGGTGGTTTGGCCCCAGTGGCGCACGCGATCAATGTGAGAGGCATGACTGACGCGCAGCTCAAGCAGGTGAGGGCCATTGCTGGACACGCGCTGTTTGGGACTGCAAGAGGGGGATGCCGCGCCATGGGGTTTCAGCTGCCAAATTGTCCAATGGCGGATCCTACCTTTGTTGCGGATGAGTACCCTCTGGTGTATTGGCTGCGGGCTCTACGTTGGGAAGTGGGTACGGCACAAAACAATGGCTCTGGTGTTCGCGAATGGGCAGACTCTACTCCAGTCCTGGGGCACGGAGTTCGAGGGCCAGCAGGTGCCGTCATCGTGACCTTGAGAAGGCTGGGGTGGCAAGCTATTTCTTGGGACGGCTGGATTGCTGAGCGTGGAGTGGCGCTGGACGTGCACATCTTGGGGCCGTCTGCGCTCAAGAAGATCGCCAGTCAAGCTACACGTAGGCGTCTGATGGCCGAGATCCCCAGAAGTCGTGGCATGGAGGGCCTCATGGGTCCACCCTTGCTGCAGCCCGCCCAAGACCGCATCAGTGCTCTTTATCGTCGAGGCGATTTTAGAGGTGCTGGTTTGGTAAGGATTTGGTTATCTGGTGCTGTTTTGGGTTTTTCTGTCGGGCGCGGCTTTTCAAAGCCAGGGCGGTGGAGAGCCCTATTTGCGTGATATGTGGAGTTGAGGATGGCACGGACACTCATCTGATTTTCAGGTGCGACTGGCACGCACTCGAGAGGCAGAGTTGGACGGCAGAGGAGCGTCGGCTGTTGTTGTGGGGTAGGCGACGGACATGAACTTTCCATCGCCATACTCACGTGCAACGGGCTCTTTCCCGATCCTACCTTCGACTCGCCTTTGCCGACTACAGAGGGCATCATCAACTGGCACGTGTGCACAGTCAACGGGCTCATCAGCGGTGTGGTGTGTACCGATGTCAGCTGCGTGTATCCACAATGCGAAATTCGGGCTCGTGCTGACGGGTCCTTTGTCATGATAAATAGAATGGGTGATGCGGTTGCGGTTGCGTCAGGACCAATGCCATACCAGTGGCAACCATCAAGAGCTGGGGCGATCTGGGCCGTCATCAGAGCGCCGAAACCTAAGTCGGAAGGGCGACTCGCGATTGTGACGGGCTGCAAAGACCTCAAGCAGGCATGGGCAGAAGGATACCCCTGCGGTTGCAGCCCCATGCATCAGTGCACGGAGCTGTGGAAGCAAATCTGGGACGTCGTGCTCGGCGTTGGCGTCTCGGAGATCGACGTGGCCTGGGCCCCCTCGCAGCGCGGCGCGGGCGCAGGCCAGCAGCCGCGGCGTGGACGCCCCCCACTGGAGGGGCGGCTGTGCCGCGGACAGGTCTGCGAAGCAGGGTGCCGCCTGCCGCCCATCGTCGGCGGCCGCGCGAGCAGCTGCGAGAGCTCAGGGGGGGCGGCAGCCCCGCTGGCCCCGAGGCGCGTCCTGCGCATCCTCGGGCTCGGCCAGCAGGAGGGGTGGCAGGACGTGCAGCAAGTGAGGGACGGCCTGCGCGTGGCCCCGGTCTGGTCCTGAGGGAAGACGGGGGCCACCGACTTCAGCGCTTCCAGGGACGATGGGTGTGCGGCAGGTGCGGAGATAGCCGTGCTCGTCGGCGGGACCTGGCTCTCGTGCCGTGCCTTGGGGGCCCCAAGAGGGTCCGTGATGCGCACCCATCGGACAAGCTGTGGCGGACTGGTCCCATGGTTTGGTGCTTCGAATGCGCTGCTCGGTGTACCTCGAGGGCCTTTTTGATCTCCAGACCTTGTCTTGGGAGGCCGCCCCTGGGATCCGCGAGGCACTTCAAGCGCAGGTGCCTCATCCAGGGGCGGGGTCCGTCTGGTGAGGTGGGGACTGGCTTCAAGAAGCCCGTACCCATCCTCGCTCGAGGCGATCGGTAGCGGTCGCCTCTCCTCTTCATTATGATTGTTTTGGCCTGGTGCATCGTTCTCGGCACACCTCGTCGTCATCCAGAGTCTCCAGCGCCTCCTCCTCCCCCCTCCTCCTCCTCCTCCTCCTCCTCCTCCTCCTCCTCCTCCTCCCTCCCCCTCCTCCTCCTCGTCCCCCTCCTCCTCCTCCTTGTCCTCCTCCTTCCCCTCCTTCTCCTCCTTATCCATTGAGACTACCATAACAGCAGCTCCCGAGCCTTCTCCACAGCTGGCCGCAGACCCTGCTGCCGCCGCCCCTGCTTCTTCGCCTCTTCGCCCTGCGGCCTCGCCATGCAGTCGGAGGGCCACGAGGCCGACATCGGGCCGGGCTGCCCTCGTCTCTAACTCTGGCGTCGTGGATCTGCTGCTGCTCCTGCTGCACCTCTCGATCCTGCTGCTGTTGCCTCCGAAACCTTTCTGTGCAAGCGAATCCCTTCACATTTCCTGTGCGGCTGCTGTGGCCAAACATTCTGCTGCCCATGCAGGTCCCCCTGATCTTTCCTCTGGCCGCCTGGGAACAGTGGAGCGCCAAGAAAAAGGCGAACGCAGCATGCTCGCTGGGCATGCCGTATCCACCACGGTAGCTGCCTTCAGGACGGGGCTGCTTCAAGACCTTGCCGCGGGGGCAGTCAGCAGAGGAAACACCAATATTTGTGAATAGGTAGCTGGGCTGGACCGCGCTGGATTGGACTTGGAATCAACTGGGCCAGACTCGGTTGGCATTGGCTGGGCCAGACCTGTCCGGACTGGAGTTGGACTAGGCCGGAACTGCATGGGCTTTCGTGGACTTTGCTGGGTTGGACAGGTGTGGCCTGGGCAGGGCTGGGCTTGTCTGCACTGGCCTGGACTGGACTGCGCTGGACTGGACTTGACTCGTCTAGACTGGGCTGGACTTGGGTGGCCTGGTCGGGGCTCGCCTGGACTTGGCTGGACAGACTTAGGGTACGGCCGCCCGACCCGCCCGTGTGGTTCTGCCACTTTGTATTCCTGCTCCTGACACTTCTCCTGCTAATCTCTAACGTCTTCATCCTTCTCCCTCCCCTTCGTCCCTTCCCTCCTTCCTCCTTTCTCCTGGTTCAGGGCCTGCGTCAACTACACGTGGCAGGTACGTAAGCCCTTCGATTATTCGAGATACACAGCGTGAGAGGCACGCGATCGGAGAAGAACGAACAGTCTTAAACAAAATGCTGCTGTTGCAGGGCGTCGTGACTTCTACGATGTCGTATAGCGGGGATGCTGGGGCCCGCGGGGTCCCCTCAGAACTTCTGCCCGGTCTGCTGGGAATCTCATTGGAACCGTCCCGCAGGCATTGCGATGCTGAGCTGGCACGATGGCAGGGGTTGCCGTATGCAGCTGAGCGGCACTGATCGTCTCGCTGTCTGTGAGATGAAATTCTCTGTTCAAAAAAAAGAAAAGACGCCAGAAGACAATACGCCATAAACATGATACTATGACCAGCGCGGATCCAAGAAATCCGCGCGGAACGCCAACAGCTTATGCTTATGGCATCTTTTGCTCTTCGATTCCTGTGAGATGGAACTGTCTCTTTTCTAGTCCGCCGAACTTCGCGCACCGTTCCCCGCGGTGCGCGCCTCGCTTCCTCCTCCTCCTCCTCCTCCTCCTCCTCCTCCTCCTCCTCCTCCTCCTCCTCCTCCTCCTCCGCGCGCCGTTCCCCGCGGTGCGCGATTCGTTGAGATCTCTTCGTGCCCTCGCGCCGCCGCATGGGGGAGAGGCCAGCTCTGCCGGCTCCCTTGCCGCGAAGTGCGCGAGGCGCGATCCTCGTCGCGCACCCTTGGGGGGTGACACCATCTTTGCCGACTCCAGGCCCCCAGAGAGGAGGAGGAGGAGGAGGAGGAGGAGGAGGAGGAGGAGGATGAGGAGGAGGAGGAGGAGGAGGAGAGGGAGGAGGAGGAGGAAGAGGAGGCGGAGGAGGAGGAGGAGGAGGAAGAGGAGGAGGAGGAGGAGGCCGACCCTTTCACCTGGGCCGGCTCTTGCCCCTGAGTCGTCTTCTGACGGTGCTGGGGCCTGGGAATCGCGGACCTAGGTGGGCTTGCGGCCTACTCAGGTCCGTGCGCTGTGGGAAAAATCAGGGCGGGCATTTGTGTTCAGTCCAGGCGTCCGCCGCGGATCTTCCTTGCTCGTCTTCGAAGATGCCGAAGGGTGATAACGCCCTGGGCTCCAGTGGTGTTTTTTTGCGTATATATCATTTTGTCTACGACGTCGTGGCTTCTGCTATGTCGTGCGTCGAGGGTGCTAGAGCCCAGTGTCCTCGAACTTACCTGAGAACTCTGTTCGGACTCAACACAAGGAGCTCCAAAACTGCACAGGGATACCGTATGATCTATGGTGGAGCTCGCCCACCTTTGCACCTTCTTCTCATTCTCCTCGTTCCCAGCGGAGAGGGCGAGCGAGAGAGCGACTCCCCCATGGCCTTCTTAAGCACCCTGCAGATGCCGTCAACAGCCAGCACCCCAAGGAGTGTCCACACCCAGCGCACCCATCTGGAGAAGCCGCTGTTCAAGCGCAGCGCGGCTAGACGGCTGGAGAGACATCCTCCTCCTCCTCCTACCCCCTCCGCCATCTCTCCACCTTTCCAAACCTCTCCCAACGGGGGAGGGGGGGGGGACAGGAAAGGGGTGCCAGGAGGCGAGACAGCCGCGGCTGGACGGCTGGGGAGACCTTCTCCTCCTCCTCCGCCTCCGCCTCCTCCTCCTACCCCCTCCGCCATTTCTCCAACTGTCCCGATCTCTCCCAAGAGAGGGAGGGAGAGGGGAGGGGGGACAAGGAAGGGAGGCCCGGAGGCGAGACAGCCGCCACTGGACGGCTGGGGAGACCTCCCCCTCCCCCTCCCCCTCCTCCTCCTCCTCCTCCTCCTCCTCCTCCTCCTCCTCCTCCTCCTCCTCCTCCTCAAAGGGTCACGTAAGGCAGTTCGGGACGAGTTAGCACGTTGCATTATCTCCACTTGCCAGGAAATGAGGAAGTGGTCTCTGGAGATCGCGGACAAGTCAGTTGTTTTGTGTACGAGACATAAGGACGCTCAGTTTGTGGCGAGACGTGTTCGGCAGGCTGGTTTCACGGTCAAGCCTGTCTCACAGGCGCCATATCTGGGGATTGATTTTGGTTGTGGGCGACGTGCCCGTGCAGTTCGAGTTCAACGAGAGAAAAAGCACAAGTTGATGAGCACTAAGATTCGGCGCTTTGCTCGGGCATCGCGTCAATACGGGGCTATCAAGAAGTTGCAGCGTCAAGGGGGTCTGCCTGCTGGGGTGTATGGGCACCAAATTCATGGCTTATTTGGTACCCAGCTGACCCAGTGCCGCAGGAGGTTGGCTCAATCGTGCGCATCAGCGGCCAAAGGGCGGTGTCTGACAACCGTCTTGGCCCTTCGAGCGCCTGATGCCGACCCTGCTGTACTGTATCCTGTGCAGACAATCGATTGGTGGCTCAAAGTTTGGAATACCCATCGTGAGATTCGGAGTGGGGTTCGCAAAGTCTGGGGCCCCCTGGTCACCAAGTTTCAGAAAATGACCGAAGCTGAGCAGTGTCGTGCTATCCGTGGCCCTGTGTCCACGGTGATCCACAGCTTGCTCAGGCTGGGGTGGAACCCAGTATACGCTACAACGTGGAGCTACCAAGCAGGCCCTGGACGAGTCGAAGAATGGCAGTTTCCTGATTTGGTATATGAGCAGAACAAAGTTGTCTCGCATAAGGCGCTGCTAGAGGACATCAAGGAGGCTGCGGAGCTCAAGGTCTGGGCTACGGCGGCCAAGCACTACTGCGGCGCTGGAGTCGAAGACGGAGTTGAGTGCATATCTTTTCGGAAGCTGTTGAATCAAATTAGTTGTCTGGATAACGGCAAGAGGATGGCCGAGATTCTTGTCATGATAGCGGCGGGCGGCTGCTGGCCCAACGATCGCAAGAAGGCGGAGTTGAAGCGGTACGCCAGGACTGCTGATTTTGATCGTTGTGGAGAAGCAGCCGAGACGCCACTCCACAGGTATTGGACATGCCGTTGCAATCAGGGAGCTGGGCCATACACCATGTCCGACGAGCTGGTGATGCAGGCTCAGACCCAGGCGGCCTCCTGTGAGGCCTTTTGGTTGCGTGGTCTTTTACCTCGAGGCTGGACTGCCGTTCCGCCCCCCGTTTCCGAGGCTCAGTGGAAGTTTTCGGGGCCCCCGCTGGACCTTGGTGCGTGGGGCCCAGGATCCCCGACGGCGCCCATCCAGGTCTTTGGGGACGCCTCGGGAGGCCCTGAATCGAGCGATCCTCGGATGCGTAGGGTAGGAGTCGCCATTGCCTTGTGCCCACAGCTCATACCCAGCGTTCAGATTGATGCTTGTGTATATGGCCCGTTGGCAGGCAGGCGTCAGGTTGTTGCGAGAGGGGAATTACAGGCTTTCGCCCTCGCAATGTGGATGTCGCAGGATTGGCTGTGCTATATAACGGACTGTGATTATGTCTCCCAGGGGTGGCACCAACAGTTGCATAAGTTTCCTTCGGGAGATGATGCCGACCTCTGGGAGGAGATAGGTAGGATGTTGCAGCATAGATGCCATGAGCATGTTTCTGTGATTTTCACCCACTCCCACAGTGGGCCAGGTGACATTGTCGACGGTAGAGTTTCTCGAAATCTTGTCTTGGGGAACCTGGTGGCCGATGAACTGGCAGGCCTTGCTGCCATGGAGCATCGGGTCCCTGAGGCCGATAGGTATCGTGTGCACTTGCATGAGAGGAGAGCACGGTTGGTGCGGCTCCGTTTGCTCAGAGCCACCTTGGATTGCTTCGCTAAAGACAAGCAGCTTGAGGTTGAGAAGAAAAGGCAGGGGGTCCCCCCCCCGCCCTTGCCCCCCCCGCCCCCTGCTGCTGCTGCTCTCGCCCCACTCATGTCTCAGCATGAACTTACCGATGATCGGAGACGGTGTTTTAAGTGTCACGGCTCGGCGTCGCAGGCTACCCTTCAGGACTTCTGGAATTCCCCGTGTCCGAAGTTGTACAATGTCGACGGGGCCATATTTCCCCCGTCTCCTGGATCTCGTGTGCATGTGGCGGGGGGCTGGCTACACCCATCTCATCTTCTCAATGTGAATGTGAATTTGAAGACTTGGTTCTGTGGGAGGTGTGGGGCTATAGCTGACAAGCAGCTGCGTGCCCTTGGCAAGGAATGTTCTCGCCGATGCACCTCCACAGGCAGAGAATATCTAGACAGAATCCGTGCTAATTTAACCCCCAAGGTCCTCAGCAAGGCCGAGAGGACCCTGAGGGGTCGCGGGTAGTATGGATTGAACTGGCTTCACCACTCGAGTGCAAGGAACGCGGGTAGTGGTCGCGGGTAGTGGGTCGCGGGTAGTGGGGATTGAACGGAGCGCAACTTTTCGAGGATGTCTCGGGCGAAACGGCCAATCCCGGCCAACTCAGAAACGACAGTTGTGAGGATGTCTCAAGCAAAACGGCCCGGACCATCAGATTTTTGTGAGGATGTCTCTGCTCCCGTTTCCCTCGGCCGGAGTTAGCTTCTATCACAACAGCGCCCCGTTCAGCAAGCTGTTTGGGGAATTACAATGGCGACGTACCCAACCCCTGCGCAATGCGGGGCACGAGTAGCCTGGGACACGTTATACAAAGGTGATGACGTGACACGGGCGCATATAATTCTGCGAGCGGCATTCGTGAGGCTCGCAGCCCCCAAGGGATGGCGAGGTCCGGCTCAGATCTGCGCGGTGCCTAACTCCGCTGGACCCGCCAGCAGCCTTCGAAAGTGGCGACAGTTTCGCAGATCGGAGCCCCCCAAGGACGGCGAGGTCTACCTCGGATCTGCGAGGTGCCTCACTCCGCTGGACCCACCAGCAGCCCTCGAAAGTGGCAACAGGTTCGCAGATCGGAGCCCCCCATGGACGGCGAGGTCTACCTCGGATCTGCGCGGTGCCTCACTCCGCTGGACCCACCAGCAGCCCTCGAAAGTGGCAACAGGTTCGCAGATCGGAGCCCCCCATGGACGGCGAGGTCTACCTCGGATCTGCGCGGTGCCTCACTCCGCTGGACCCACCAGCAGCCCTCGAAAGTGGCGACAGTTTCGCAGATCCCCATGGACGGCGAGGTCTACCTCGGATCTGCGCGGTGCCTCACTCCGCTGGCAGCCCTCGAAAGTGGCAACAGCTTCGCAGATCGGAGCCCCCCATGGACGGCGAGGTCTACCTCAGATCTGCGCGGTGCCTCACTCCGCTGGACCCACCAGCAGCCCTCGAAAGTGGCAACAGTTTCGCAGATCGGAGCCCCCCATGGACGGCGAGGTCTACCTCAGATCTGCGCGGTGCCTCACTCCGCTGGACCCACCAGCAGCCCTCGAAAGTGGCGACAGTTTCGCAGATCGGAGCCCCCCAGGGACGGCGAGGTCTACCTCAGATCTGCGCGGTGCCTCACTCCGCTGGACCCACCAGCAGCCCTCGAAAGTGGCGACATTTCGCAGATCGGAGCCCCCCATGGACGGCGAGGTCTACCTCAGATCTGCGCGGTGCCTCACTCCGCTGGACCCACCAGCAGCCCTCGAAAGTGGCGACAGTTTCGCAGATCGCAGCCCCCCAGGGACGGCGAGGTCTACCTCGGATCTGCGCGGTGCCTCACTCCGCTGGACCCACCAGCAGCCCTCGAAAGTGGCAACAGGTTCGCAGATCGGAGCCCCCCATGGACGGCGAGGTCTACCTCGGATCTGCGCGGTGCCTCACTCCGCTGGACCCACCAGCAGCCCTCGAAAGTGGCAACAGCTTCGCAGATCGGAGCCCCCCATGGACGGCGAGGTCTACCTCAGATCTGCGCGGTGCCTCACTCCGCTGGACCCACCAGCAGCCCTCGAAAGTGGCGACAGTTTCGCAGATCGGAGGCGAGTCTAATTCTGCGCGGTGAGGAGCCCTCGAAAGACCGAGATGGACGGCGAGGTCTACCTCGATCTGCGCGGTGCCTCACTCCGCTGGACCCACCAGCAGCCCTCGAAAGTGGCGACAGTTTCGCAGATCGGAGCCCCCCATGGACGGCGAGGTCTACCTCGGATCT